AACAATATAACCATTGAACCATAAGAGATTTAAAAGAGCTTTACAGACATCTAAAATATTTAATACCACTCTATTGATAATTTCCAATAATTATTTTGATGAATGAAATTGTATTACGAAAATATATACAAGGATTATCCGTTTGTATAAGATCACATGAATAACCCAAAAAGACTTTAGTTAGAAGAAACAATGATAATTTACATGCATAATGAATGGCATCATAAAACAAATGGTCAAGTGTAAACACACGAAAACATTTCAAGAAAAACGAATATTTAATCACCTTATAGTCATTTTCAGAGTTTAATGATATCATCGCCTTAAACCAGTCATTCGATTGTTTATGCTTAATTATTTGATCAGAAGGTAAGGTAGAATTCCAAATTGGATGATTCAAGCTTAACAAGTAAATGAGAAAGATGATGAAATAAAGAAAAACGTCCACCTACCAGAAAACTCCTTCATAACCAGTCCCTTGTTGTTTTTGATTCATACATTCTCTAAATTCAAATTGAATTTTAATCTCAAATTAAATAATAATAATTGCTAACAATAAAAAATAGACTACATCCAGATTTCGAAACAACTGAATAGAAAGATAAGAATTACAGAAGTGGAAAAACCAAGAAAAAAAATATGAAGAGAGGAGGTTAAGGAATGGTGTATGACGCATCACACATACGACAACGCATCAACATCGACAACATGATAATAAATCATATTAGATGTTAATGAAAACTAATTAATAAACCGAATAGTAGCATTTTATTCCCGAAGTTGAATAATTTCATAAACACAAAATACATATTATTGTCAGCATTAAACTTTCGTCAATATATTGTATTTCTATTCAAATAAACAATAAATATTCCTAATTAGAATTAAAACAAAAATTTAAATCATAAATTGACTGAGTGAACAATTGTAATAATAAAGTCAGTAGTGTGAATAAAAGGATCAGATGTAAAACTAAATGAATTAGGGTTCGAACCTGTGATTTAGCAGTGTTAAGACTCGATCTAGTCCATATAATTACAAATAAACTGTTTTGTTATATTTCCTGAAACTATCTTTATGAAATATCTACACTAGGGAAAAAGTAATACAGACAACTTAAAATAAGGAATATGTTGTAGTAGACCTTGTCGATAACAACGTTCGTTCTAACTAAAATTAGGTTTTTGATAAACAAAGACATTAGTAGTTATTAATAATTCGTTGTATGACTTCTCTCAGCTAACCTTATAATCAGACAGTGTTGACTCAGACTGATTGGTTATTTGTTGATCAAGTTGAATGAAAACAATTTTCCAAATAGATTGATTCAAATCCGGTAAACTATTAGATTTCACAGATGACCAAATAGGTTTATTGGCACTGGAAAATTTAGATAAAACAAAATAATGAATATATAGATAAAATATACAAAACTAACAAAAGAAGAGAATTTATCTTGACCGAACTGACAAGTAGTTTTATTTTCACGATAATGACCTTAAAACATGTTCACAAAAGAAAAAATTGGAAGATTGAATCTCAACTTCATCAACAAATTCACGGGATGAAATATACACTTCAAGATATGAATAATTCCGTTAAAGATTGATAAAAATGTAGTGGTAGAAACACCGAATTTAGCGAAGGGATCTCTTTTTTTTAATGTTTAAATGGAAATTATATATCTGTCGAAGAATCTAATGCTTGAAAATCTGAAAAGCTTGACTTTAACTAACAACTACATACTTGAATTCTTTAAACTGGACTACAATAAAATGTAATACAGAACCTATGCTAACATTTATTACCTTAAATAAGGAAGCGCAATGTCTTTTTATTCAAAATGTTATACACAGTCACTAACAAGAACTTTAAAAGACTAATATCTTATTAAGAATTCCATGATTGATAGTTAATGTTTAGTCGATGAATTGATGCACTGTAAAACACATGCAAAATCAAAATTAGGTAACACCTACCATACTACAGCTGGATCTCCACGGTATGTTACACGATCACATGCTCTATAAATTAGGTAAAATTTTATATTACAAATGTAATAATTGATTATTACTACAGGTTATGCACTAATTGAGTGAAGGTGAATAATAGAAATATAATTTCAACAAAAAGGAGTAAAGAAAAGATGACATTAAGAGGTATCAAAGAAGAAAGAATAACACAGGCACTCTTCAACCATCTTAAGGTTTTTTTCAATAAAAATCAAACAGGACGAATATAATACGTAATAAACAGTTTGTATTTTATAAAATAGGTTTTATGACTGCTTATTATTATACATTAAAACATCATAACAGTCAATAACTGTACAAAATGATGATTTAGAAATGGATTTAGTGTATGATAAACTTTACACCTTTTTTAATTTAAATTGTTAATATTAAAATATGACAACCTAATCAACATGAACACAGATTTCATTGAATAGTATAAAGAAAAATGTATTAAACACAATAATACATGAAAAAAATGTTTCATAAAAATAATCAATTTTAACCAGTGTACAGAACTGTTTTATAACTCTTATGTATTTATAAATAAAAGAGTGAATTTTCAGAAAAACGCAAACAACTAAGTTAATGATATAGCACAACAACTATAATGGAATTTTAATACACGTATATATAACAATGAATTATGATTAGTGTTCAGAGAAAGGAACAATTATCACATTGTTTCACCTCAAAGTTAATCAATAAAAAGAAGTATAATATGAATATATAACTTAATACATATTTATGTACTGAATGATGTGTTGTAATTTTTGTGATAATTTAAGTTCAATGGTTAAGATCATAAGTCAGTTGAAGCTAGACCACCATGGAAAACCTGGAAGCACTGGACGGCCGTTTCGTCCTATTGTGGGACTCCTCAGCAGTGCGCATCCACGACCTAGCCCCCTGCGAGATTCGGACCCAGGACCTACTGGTTTCGCGCGCGAGCACTTAACCACTAGACCATTGAGCTAGCATCCAACGGTGTTAATGTCTAACTTCAACTAATCCACAGAATTGAACGACACATTCACCATTGTCTTCAGTGAGTTACTATCTCACATGGTGGTCTAGCTTCAACTGATTCATGATCTTAAGCATTGAAATTACTACAATCTCCACAAAAACCCATCTGATAGTTTAAGCATTCATATTTATCTGAACTATATGAAAACTATGACCAATGTCTTGTAAACTCAATAAACTAGATAGTAATAACAAATTTTGATGCATATATATATATATATATATATATATATATATATATATATATATATATATATATATATATATATATATATATTATACCAGAGTATAATTCATTTTACAAATATACCAAACGGGTTAACAACTCAGAATACTACTAATAATAAATCCATTGAGACTTAGCAACTAGATACACAGGGGTATGTAATCATTAGTGAGTGCTAGTCACACGACTTGAATAGTTTCAAGTTTAATGTTCTAATCACTAATTCGACACGTCTTAGAAATAATTCGAATATCAACTATGAAAAGTTCGTTTATGATATATGATTATACAACATTTAGTAAACATTTCATTTGTTAAGTGTACTTGTTTTAAGAAAAAATGAAATTCATGTAAACGAACATTAGTGGAGTTGGACAAAAAAACATGTTCATGAAGTATTTCTATACAAATAAAATTCCTTTTAAGCGCCACAGACGAAATAAATTCCCAATAGTAAATAAATAAGAAATGAAAACAAAGCTTTCCAATAGTTCCATATTCTGTATGTAAACCGGAAAAATTATCAACAAATGTTTTACGAAAACTTGGTTCTCTTTGATTTCAACACTTCTATTATTATTATTATTATCAATTTTAATGAAATATATATTTACACAAATAACATATACTTTGATCACTACACACTTTATAACTTATGTCAGATGATACGGAAGAAGCGGGTAAATCAATTTTCGCAACAGACCATAATACGTCATTCGATATAACATTGTTCGACGCATATTTTGATGACCACAGATCAACATTTTCGCATGTGACCGATGATTTACCGAATTCTTGAGTACTATGCTTTATACACGATCTTGTAAAGTAAATAAAAAATTATTTTTTTCTAAACAAAAAGCCATCGAGATTATACATATACTGTTTATAAGGCGAAGAAAATTGAGGATAAATTGTTAGGTAAGTGATAGAGTAAAATGAAGAAATAATAAGTACAAATACATACATTCAAATGACTTTCACAGACAATATCATTTTATCCATACATCATAATTAAAACTAAGCGATAACACAAAGTACGGGTAAATAACTATAGATGTCAAAACTTCATGCAAACAATCAGAAATCACACTTGTACGCGTAAAGTATAGAATTTTAAACTTGACAGATTGGTGGTTTTATTCTATGGATTTTAAAAAATCATGTTACCGTAACTTTTTTTTCCGAGAAAAGCAAAACTAGTAAAATTACACGAAGAGAATATGCTTCATTTAAGAACACTGATTATAAATAAATGACAGACACTAGACCTTTATCAGTTTATGTATGTGCTTATAAATATGAATAAATGTTGTAATCAAAAATGTTAACAATAGATTACGTAAGTAATGAGGTAGACAAATTACGACACCATACTTCCTAGAATACTTCTTGTAAGTAAAAAGATAAATTAACGTAAAAAATGAACAGGCTTAAGAGATAATTAAAAAATGTCAACTTTTATTTGAATGATATATACTGTGAGGTAATACTGAGGATATTTTATTCCAGGAATTATCAATAAGTGTGCATATAATAGATTTCTGAAGTTAAATGTATGGTAGTTAATACAAAAAATAAATTTAGATGACGTGAAGCTTAAACGACGGATGGGCCCCATTATTGCGTTAATTATTCCTTCTACAAAAAGAGAAAGAACCCATAGAAATGAAACGATCAGTGTGTGCTATAAGATAGTATACGCATACATACACACAAACACACCCTCACACCTTATAACTTGAATCTGTTGAAAGGACAGAATCGCGTTGTTGATTTTGATGTAAATCAATTTTGGCAACAGACCATACATTTGAAGGATATATACGTGCATTATCATTTTCATTTGATGACCATAAATCATGATTTTTGCATAAAACAGCAGATTCCCCACGTTCATAAGTATTTTGCTTAACACATGAACTTTAGAAAAGAGAAAAATACAAATACAGGTTACTATTCAACAGATTAATTCAAGAGTATAAAAAGAAACATCGTAAGACAAAAGAAGTAAAAGCAAGTGAAAAGGGAGAGGAATTGGTGAATAAAGAAACAAGCAAATATAAATCACAAGAAAGATGTCAAACATAACGCAAACAATCAGAACAGGTATTAGGTAATCAGTTTCCAGATAGTCTTTAGATTGCTATAATACTTCTTTGCATTAACTAGTGAATTCGATTGCCTGAAATTAAAATATAACTATTAAACTAGTACTCACCAGTACGGAGTAATTTTATATTTCAATGTTAAAAATAGAGACATGGGTTTTACCATTGATCAAAGCTAATTAAAAATGTTCACATACATACACACCTTGTAACTTGAATCAGGCGTAGATGCAAACTCTTGTAAATCAACTCTAGCTGTTGACCACTGTTCGAAAATTTTACTCAAAGATTCTGAAGACCATAATTCTGTATTCTGACATGTTACCGAAGTTTGACGATTTTGTGAAGTACCATGCTTGATGCATGCACTTAAAAAATTAATTCGGTAAAATATATATTTATTAATTATATTAACCATAACGAATAAAATGTAATTAGGTAAGAAGTAGTCATAAATAAAGTTAAGAAAATAAAAGGTTTTAACTCAATCATATTCACATACAACCAAGCAATAAAGCAATCGCAATATTTACTGAATTGTCAGAAACTCAAAAATCCATGAAGCGTACCAAAGTTAATGAAAGAAACGCAGTCAGACTCACAAACAACATATATTCGATTGCTAATTACAAAGTCAGAATGGACGAATTGCCTTTTTTAAAGCTGTAAATCATTCTACGAATCACTGAGTTTACAAAAGAACACAGAAACATAATTAGTCAATCATTCAAAGTTATACAGACTGTTTAAATTACCGGATTCATAATTTGACAAAATAAGTTTTAGAATAACTGACAATAACCATTTATATGCTAAGTTACTGAACAATTCGAGAATACACACACCTTGTAACTTGAATCAGAAGATATTGTAGGCTCTTGTATTTCAATCCGAGTTGTAGACCATTCACTAGTTAAATTATCGAAAGAACCTGACGACCATAACTCCGTATTCTGACAGATAACCGAAGTTTGGCGATTTTGTGAAGTACTATGCTTTGTACAAGCACTTAAATTAAAAAATATAATTAAGAAAATGACATACTAGAAAAATGAGCATACACCTAAAAAGAAATGGATTTTTGAAGATGGAAAAAATTAAAGAAAATTAACAAAATAGTAGTAGTATTCATAGTCACACAAACTCGACTCAGTTCAATCACAATACATTGAAGTATGACCTCAGCATTCTCGGGAGATAAACTAAACTAGAATAATAGTTAAACAACTGTAAATATGCTCTAGAAAAAATCAAGGTTCAATGTATTTTAAACTGAATTTATCATAATATTAGTTTATGATCACTAACATTTTGGTAGAAATATTGAAAATAGTCTCCTACCACACACAAAAGTTATGTGAAAGGTTGTATCAGTAAGTCTGTGTATTTGTAATGAAATTCATTCGGTTCGCCATTATTATTACGATCATTATTACAAATAATATGATTATTATTACCATGAATAGTAATACTATTGTCCGACTATTGTAATCATATAAAAAATTCTAATAAAACTTTACATGTCAAATGAGTACTTAACATAAATATTATGAGATTTGCGATAAAGCACAATTAATCAATTGTGAAAGCTTATACAAAACAATCAGTCAAAGAGAAGAAAGAACTCAACTAGGATTCACTTCACAGAAATTTAACATTCATCCAATACCAAGGTTAATTATACGAACTCAGTATGAGAATTTTAAGGGAAAAATGGAAATAAACTTCTTAAACAATTATTCTCTAAGAACAATATCTAAACAACAACAACAAAAGTTAAACCACATAAACTAACAGTATTTAATACAAAATATTTTTGGACTAAAATACTATTTGAAGGAAATATCACTAGCTTTGTTAGTACAGTACAAATGCCCTGGTATGGTCGAGTGGGGGACCGCCCTCCCTCTCGAGATGCTCCCACCAGACCACGTGTATACAGCCTCTGCCAGGGAAGTCTTACTCACTGCCTTCTTCTGACGGGAGTGTTGTTTACAAAAATGAGAGGACGAAAAGCGAATGTCCGGCACTTTAACCGGATTCCAAACCAATGGTGCACATGGGCTTCAGTGTCCTGCGGGAACAAAACGCGTACAAACCAATCGTTGGTCACCGGTTACCATGGCACTGCATCTCCCCACGACGCCCCACTGCCTTGTGGATTAGACCTTTAGGTCAAAGGCTCGAGGTGTGGCCCCCTAAGAAAACCAACTGCTTCGGTCTGGGAACCCGGGTAGTATCACAGCCCACGCACAAATATAATGGTGTGGCGCATATATATTTGGTGCCCTCTTGTACTAATATTTATGTGTTCAAATAAAATAATAAATAATAACAGTACAAAGAGTAAAACAAATTGCGATATAGTATAAAACACTAGCAAATTATAATCAGAAATACAAAGATTATTTACTATAATAAGAACGTAAAAAAACTATGAAATTACTATCCAAGTATTTAGAATTTTAAAAAGTTGTAAAAAGTCCATTCAAAAAGAAACTATCCTATAACAATAAAATGATATAATTCATTCAAATTAACAGCTTAAGAAAAAAAGAACTATATCAATACAAGTATACTTATTCACATGATAGTTCATTTCACAAAGTTAATTGAAATGGAAATAAATAAAATTTTGACATGAAAAACAATGAAAAACATATATGTTGGTGGAGTTTTGTTCTCTGAGCTGGATGGTTTGGTCGAGAACAAAACTCCACCAAAATCATCCACCTGAGCTACAAATCTTCCCCACCAAAAACATATATGTACTAGGTGGAGATTAAACATGTAAATACTACCCTTAAACTTAGTCATGTTTACACTAACTTTATGCAATAAATAAAGGAAAAAAAAGAAAGTCATAATCATAAAAAACTGGACATTAATTTCATATACAAGAAGAAATGAACAAGGGGAATAATTAACCAATCAATATATATATATATATATATATATATATATATATATATATATATATATATATATATATATATATATATATATATATAATAAATTAAACATTGACCTTATAATCAGTTATCATTTGTTCATTTGAATCAATCAATGATAGAGTAATTGTTTTCCAAAAAGATGTTGAGGATAACAATTCACTTTGAGTATGAAATGAATAATCTGACGTCCATAATTTTTCATTTTCACTAGAAAAATCAGTATAAATATTAATGATTTAAATATAATTATGGAAATTATAATGAAAGAGTTAGCTATTTTATTAAGCAGACAAATATTATTTGTAAATGAATTAATGTATTTCTTTACATTTAATAAAAAGTAAAGATGTTCATCTTTGACTGGATGAAATATGAATTTTTTAATGGTAAATATCAAATGAAGATGATTATGAATATTTTGTAAATTTTAAAAACCGATAATTGAATAACTTAATTAATAGGAGCTTTATTATATACTCTGCTTGGTGTCTTATTGATTCAATCAATATAAAAAAAGATAACACTTAATCTCGATTTACTTCCACTCTAATCTACAAACATGTATTTTCCAAATATTTGTGGTAATTCATTGAATGAACAAAATTCGTGAAACTAAGCGATGAATTCATTTCTTTAAACAGTTATAATCGCTCGAAGGTATGTGGAAAGATCATCCACAATAAACAGTCGGCAGAACATGTTGGCTTTAGCAATTCACATTTGAAGATGATTCAAATGTTATCGGTGTAAAAAAAAGGAAGCGAAATCAGGTTTTAAAAGTAAACAAAACAAAATTAAAAATAATAGGCGATAACACTTGGCGAACACAGTGAACATTTCAAATAATGAAGCTTTATCTCAATTTTTGACATAGAACCTAAACGTTCTTTTAAGATATTCACTGCAATTTAACTTTTCAGATGTACAACAAAACAACCGATGAATTTTTTTTCACAAGATACGTTTAACAGCTATGAACACTACTAAATAAGCGATTAGTTGAAATGGCAGCTCATTTATACAAACACAATAACAGAAAACATCTGAGCGGAAAATAAGTGTATAGCATACAATGAAATATTTTGTATTTGGAAGAAAGTAAATCCACTACACAGCAACCAAAGAGAAGAAAATACAATCATTAGCAGTCTACTGTGCATCGAAACCAAAAATAGTATCTAGCTAGAGGAAAAGCCAAATTCTAAGCAGGAATATTTAAAAACACATACATCTCATTTGCATAAATGAATAAAGAAATGAGTAAGTATGTATTTGTTTAAGACCTAAACATCCATAGTGAGTTAATAGTGTAGTGATGATGCATGTATAAAAAGTATTAGTCACACATGAATATTTCAACAAAGGTTGGAGTAAAAAACGCGATATAACAGTAAAATTATCTTTCAGTAAAGTAATGCATTATTGTTGTTGATCTACGAATGTGGATATAAATGGATACCTAAAACAAGAATCTTAGTGGGCTAACAAAACATAATTAACAACAATGTTGTGGCGAATTTCAATCATTTACTTTCCATTGCAATCTAACTATTAACATACAGAATTGGTATGATAATGTGAAAGCAGTTGATTAATCAGTAGAGATCCGAACAACTGTTACATCATTATTCGTCATTTACTACTATCGGTAGTATGCTAATCTAAAACTATTGCAAAATCCAATCCAGAACACCAAGATCACACAAATAGTACGTTCTTTGTCAGATGAATATTTAATTTTAGCCTTAATGAACAGATAATGTCAACTATTCACCTACTTCAATCGGAAGGTTCGTTCCTATTATCAATACACTTAAAAATGTAATCCATAAATCTCAAAGAAGAGTTAATAATAATC